CACAAAAATTAACTTAAAACCCCACTCAATCGAAGTAAATAAAGAAAAAAAAAAAAAGATGCATCTTGAAAGCTTTAGAGACCGAAAATTAAAGAGAAGTAAGCAAATGAACACTGTCCCACAAAACAAGATGTTACTAACATTGATACAAATGGTTTGTTTTCCCATAAGTCAAGAATTACCTGTTGCCAACATTCATAGCAAAGAGAGAAAATTTACATATCTGTCGCCAACAAAAAGTATGTCAGTGGTTAATGAGAAGGGACACAAGCAAGAGAAGGAAGATAAATATGTTAATGCAAGAAGATCAAAACAAGATAAACCATTATGATACTCTCCGCAAGATTAACATCATTAATTTTAAAAATATAATTGTCAATGGAAAATTAAGTTGCTTTATTTTACTAAGCATCTTCCTTGTCATTACTATACTGTACAATATGGAAAATAGGATTGCCTTGTTGGCTATTATTCCATCAGAAGCTTTGTATATATGTGCAGTCATATCCATAAGTAGTTTCAATTCAAAAACATTTTGTACATCTTCTAAAGATCAACAGTACTTCCTATACAAATTTTTTCAAGGAAACTATTTCAACATCTTCATGTCTGTTCAAATGCTAATCCAAATCCTCCATCTTTTTCTCTGAAAGCTCCTCTTGTTCACCTTCATTCTTTACATTCCTCTCCGCTTCCAACTCTTCAGCAGTCTTCATTACTTCATCAGAAGAATCTGCAAGATTCAACCAAGAAAAAAAGAAAACGCACAAGTTATTAGAGCTATGTCATCTGGCACATCAAAATTCAGAACATAAGCTACAAGATAGTTGATAAGTATGTTCAATGAGAGGTAAAACAGAGGTACCAAGATTTAGGCCTTCAACATTTTCGGCATTGTCTTGAGATCTTCTTTTCTCTACACACTCATTCTCAATTATCCACTGATCCTCCAAACGTTTTTCAAGCAGTTTTGTGTCATTCAAAATCGATGCTGTCAAGTCTTCAGCACTTGCAGAAAAACCAGTCTCAGAATCTGGATTGTCTCTGAAAACTCATAGATTATTCACATAAGATACTGTAGACAAAAAGCAACATTCAAGAGGAAAAAGCTCTATGATTTGAGCATTGAAGTGGGACAGGATAAGAGATTTACTCTTGTTTCCCATCACTCTGATGGAGCTGAAAGGGCTTAATACAGTCAGTTCCCTGAAATATTACCCAAACATTAGCAAACTTCACAAGAAAATTATATGCAGAACACAGTTAAAAAGCTTTCATAGTATAAACAAACAAAACCAGAAGCAGCTGTTAAGACCTTGGATTTTTTATCCTTGGCAGAATTCTTCTTCTTCCTTTTATCTTGTTCTATATCTGATGCAAGAGCTGCTGCTGCTGTACAATCATACTTCAGACCTTCCAGATTTGCCTAGTAACAAGAAATTCAGTTTAAACCATCATGCATTAAAGTATTAAGAAATCAGCCAGAGGATCCAGAAGCAAACCTGCAAGAATGACTTCAATAGAGTTGCAATCATTGAGCTACAGTCATATAAAGACATCTTCTCAAGTTTCAATATATGCTGCATCATGACACAATTATGCTGCCACGATTTTGCCGTGAGAAAGGCCAGCTGCAAGAATAAACACAGTGAGAAAAAAAAAAGCAAACAAATAGAATTTTCTCATTTTTATTGGAAAGTTTACTTAACAAATCAGATTTTTGGGGTAAACCCAGTAATTATATTAGAAAAGAACAAAGAATACAGAAAGGGAGCAAGCAGCCCCATCAATCCTCTACCTTTGGACAGACCCAAGGATGCAGACGCAAAATGGGCCTAACACCCCTAGGATGTACAGATCGAACAACGGTCAAGCAAAAAACAGGCCAAAACACAAAAACAACCAAAAACTAAACAAAAGGCAAGCCTATACAAACACCAAACAGACAAGACACATCGGCACACTCTGCCAGCCACAAACCAGCCCCACAACCACAACATCCAAACCGCAAACATGAAGGACCAGCCCCACAGCTGAAGGGAAACAAACAGCCACGCTACATACCCAAACAAACAGGAATAGAACCACCACAAGAGCAACACAGCCACCAAAGATTTAAAAAAAAAAAAAAAAAAAAAAAACAAGGCATCAAACAATAGTAGTAGATCCCCTCAGCCGGCCATCAAAGGGCAAACCCCAATTATCCAAGACTTTACACGCCCTAGCACATCCCTAAAATTTAGTGTACATAACGTAAGTCTAAATCATAAATTTGAAGTTGTGATGCAAATCAATATAATTTGCTAACTTACTTTTTCTAGTGTCTCGAGTCTCTTCCTCCGTAATGTTGATGTTACCAATTTTTCGCCGGATTCCAATCCTTCAACCATTTTCGATTCCTCTTCTTCACTCAAACTTTTAGAATCAGTACTTCCATTAGATGAACCTGCTAGTTCTTTTGCTCGACTTAGAATATCCTTCACAAGATTGGAGATCAAAGATTTCTCCATCATACTTGCAATATCACCATCCCCTTCAAGTTCCTTCTGCATCCTCTTCAAGAGTCTGAAACAAGATTCCTGTGTACTTCTATCCCCCTCCTCAATCTCTTCATGAAGTGTCCTTTCAACTCTCTCAACTGCTTCCAACGTGAATATAGCCTCAATGCTTAATCTAGAATCATTTAAGTCTGCCCCTGGTACATCTTCATCGCAAAATATCTGAAACATCTTCTTTGATTTCTGTCTTTGAGAGTCTATCAGACTGGTCCATGCCTTTGAAACTATCTGGATTGTTGCACCTTTGCACAACCATGATACTAAACCATAACTATCAGGAAGATCCTTATCTTTAACAGGTTCGAAATCAATAGTTATATTAATCTCCTGTCCCATCAAGAATTCCTTATTTAAAAGATGTCTTGTTAATGCTTCACCAATTTTATCCTCCTCTTTGACATCAAACACATGTACACAACTAAGAGTATCATACATATGGCTAACCGACTTAGGATTGGTAAGTTTACCACAAGTAGCTTTCAGATTAAGGAGGAATTCACTTATCTGTTCCAGCTCTGCAGCTCCCAAGAGGCAGATGATCTGGATCGCTTCCAGCCCAAGACAGTGCGAAAAGGGAATTAGCTCCTCAAACTGTTCAACTGTAAATCGTATTGTCCATTGAAGATATGTCTTTGAAAGACCATTATACAACCGAAACAACCCACGAATGCGGTTGAGAATCCTTGCACGGTTAGATGATTCGTTCTCATCACTTATGTTGGCAATCAAATCCTGAATACTCTCATCACTTTTATTGACAATTACATCCTCTGCACTCTCATTGTTAGCAATCAAATCCGGAACACTCTCATCACTTTTATTGACTATTAAATCCTCTGCACTCTTATTGTTGGCAATCAAATCCTGCTGCACACTCTCATCACTTTTATCCACACTTAAATCATCTGCACTCTCATTGAATTTCTGCTTATCAAACAGGTTGCCATCAGAGGCACTAAAAGCCTCCGAATTCATTCTACTGACAATCTTGCTTACCCAGTACTTGGCATCTAAAGCCTTCCACTCACCATTTGTAATAAAATCAATAGCCTTCTTAGGAATCTGTAACTCCGATTCCACCCAATCAAGATCCTGCCGATGCTCAATGAAATGCTTCCTATACGCCTCCAAGACCCCAAACTTTTTGCCACAACCACAGCACTCCCAGAACTTCCAAGTCTTGTGCTGTTTTGCGAAATCAATGGCTTCCTTGCCTGCCAAATGGAAATTGATTGACTTCCGATGCGTTTCAAGCTGTTTAATACTCACTTTACAGAGAGCACTTTTCTTCTTATCACTCAATGTACCCCAAAAGCACTTAAGTTTTTCTTTCTTGTCAACCCTAAACTCGTAGTACTTCTCCGGACCATAATGAGTCTTTACCTGCTTAAACGAGCGCCAGCGATCCATTTCTGCTTCAAATTCCTTCTTCATCTCCACTAATGTACGGCTTGCCTTTTGAACTTGCTTTTGCTCGTCCTCGCAAAGCTCTAGATACTGCCTAATTATCTGCTTCTCACTCTCAATTCTCCATTCTTTACTCGAATTCAGCATTTCGTTCTCCGGAAGGAACTTATCCACTCCCGGATCACGTAAATTCTCAATCATTAACGCGTTCTTGCATTCTCGAATTGCTTGGCCCCAATCTTTATCATTCAGCAAAGCCATCTGATAGAGAATAGTGACTTTACAAGAAGAAAAATGTATTGATTGGGGAAACGAAATCACGGCAAACTGAACCGACTGATATGCCTTATCTAAGTACTTGACCATTTCCTTAGAATCTTTGGCCGCTGTTTTTGCAAGAAACTGGAGAGCTACAGATTCAAGGTACAGAAGGTGAGGCGAGTGTTGGTGAGTAGAAATTGATTTTCTGACCATCTGTAAGGCCTTCAAGTAGTTTCCAAGATTCATTTGCTCCTGAACCTGCGAGCCTTCGCGAAAGATGACCGGGTCTAGTGATTCAGCCAGTGGGTTGAGACTGGAAGGAAGAGAAGGTATCTTTTTCTTGTCCATGTTTTTGTGTTGATTTCTCGGAGAGAAACAAGAATTGCAATGAGTTGGTTATTTTCCGGTGGGTTTTCTGGTTAGGGAATTGAAATGGGCGGGAAAATAGAAAGAGGGGAAAACACGAGATTGGATACCGGTTAGTAGTTACTACGTAAAATTTAGGATATACGGTATATGATGACATTATTCTTAGAGAAAAAAAAAAAAAAAAAAACTTGGGTTTTTAAAAATAATTTTATTAAGTTTAAGGACCGCTATGTAATTTTTTAAAAATATTACAACTCTTTTGTTAAGGGTTCCTCCCAGAACAGAAGTTTTCTGCTTTTAGATTCAACCCCCAATGGGAAATGGTGAGTTATTTAACTTGTAATTGTATATGCAAGCGATTTGGTTGGTTTTCGTTATGAAGATGGAATTTTTTATGCTGTTTCAGTTTGATGGGTAGTCAGGTCAAGAGGTGTTGGTGCAGGAGCAGCTGGAATTTATGGAGCCATGGGAGCCAAGACTGTTGCACCTAAGCTTAATATTCTTGTTATAGAGAAGGGGAAGCCTCTATCAAAGGTTTTTTCTCTTGGTCTATAGTGTAAATGTCGATGCAGAAGTTTACCTGATTGGTGGGTTTTGATTTATTGAGAGTTTTATGAGAATTTTACTTTGTTGGTGGTCGCAGGTGAAAGTTTCTGGGGGAGGCAGGTGCAAGTATTTCTCATTGCTTTTATATACATTCTCAAAAGTGTATTGCACTTAAACCAAAATCTTGCAAATTTTGGTTGACCCCATGTTAGTCACACGTTGGGGACTTAATGGGCCGGTAATTCTTCGGCTATCTGCTTGGGGTGCCCGTGATCTATTTAGTTCAGGTTACAAAGGTAAAGATAACTATTTTTTCTGTGACTATAACAATTATATTCTTCAGTTTCTGAACTTGCTGGCATTTGGATGCAGGAATACTTATAGTGGATTTTATACCTGATTTACATATAGAAGATATGAAGTCAATTCTTAGTAAACACAAGAAACAGTTTGTGGTAATTCTTTGTCTTCATTAAATTCCTATTCCAGACATTGATAGAAGTACCATTAGTCTCTTAATTAGGCGATGATGTATTATTGTTGCTGCCTTGCTGCTGAGATTTATGATAGTTCAAGAAAAATCCCATTTTATATACCGATTTTCATATAAACAAGTAAATTTGATAATTTAAGTAAGCTTATAATCAAACAAGGATAGTTTTGGTGTTTGAATCGATCTCTCTAGGACAGTAATGCGGTGACATCAATAGGCTTCAAACTTGATGGATTCTACTACTACATAATAGCATTCTGCTTAGTTGTTTTTAAATTGATAATTTCTTGCTTTTAATCAATCTCTACAGAAGCAAAATGTGATCAATTCATGTCCTTCAGAATTCAGCCTTGTGAAAAGATTCTGGAAATATATATTGGACCGTGAGGTATCAATGCCATTTCAAATAGAAAGATAATATATTTGGCATCTGCTTGCAAAATTTTCCTTATGAATGTTGTTTTTTCTAGTTTATATGCAGGGTTTATGTGGAAATACCTTGTGGGCTTCCATTTCAAACAACTCTTTAATTTCCATCGCTCATCTTCTAAAGCATTGTACATTTGAAATGACTGGGAAGGTAGGACCTGAAAAAAATTTAATTCGTTTCAATGTTTTTGTGCATTTCTGTGATGATATAAATTTTTTTCTGATAAAGGGTCAATTCAAGGATGAGTTCGTCACTGCTGGTGGTGTTCCATTGTCTGAGGTACTCTCTTATTATTTTATTTTTTCTGTATCCCTCTCCCCCATGTATGCTTTGGAAATGTAACTCCATTGTTCTTGCCTTTATGAAGGTTTCTTTGAACACAATGGAAAGCAAAATACGTTCACATTTATTCTTCGCCAGAGAGGTATAGTTCCATACCAATTACCATTTGTTAACTTCTCCTTTATTAACATAATAACATGATGATTCCACCTTGTAGGATTGAATTCATGACCCTAGAGCTTAGATAAATAAGCGAGAGTGTTTATATGTGTCTAAATGAATTTGAATTTTTTATGCAGGTACTAAATGTCGGCGGTTTTGTATTTCCAGGTGAGGAAATTTTGTGTTAAGATATAAACACATTGTAGCCATTGCCCTCTAATCTCAGTTTTTGTTTGTACAGAATGCTTGGTCTAGAGGATACATCGCGGGAACAAGTATAGGTAAACTAGCAAGTAATGCTACTCTTAATTAAGAGTAGACAATAGACTTAATGCGAGTAATATTCAATCTCAAAACCCTCTTGTAGAGCGATAAATTTAAAAAAAAATGCTCTTGGTTTCTCGTATGTCGGGCTAGTTCTCTTTTCTATCTATTGAGGGTAACGTTATCCTCTTGACATAGTCTGTGGATGAAAATCAGTCGATCCTACTTTGATTTAAGGGCTGTCGGAGGAGGTAACCTTACCCTATCCTGCAAGATTTTTATTTATTGTTGATGAATCAAGCAGCATCACAATTGTTGTTTGTTAGCCTTTTGTCACCTTAAAGTGGAACTATACTTTTGGTAAAGAAATGAAAATGAGGCAGACATGATACTGATGCCCAAACCTCAGTGGCCATTAATCCCTTATCCCAAACCAAAAAGATAAAGACACAAAACCAAGAGTATATTTACGTATCCATTAGGGTTAAAATAATTCATTTTACTATACAGAAAAGGGCAGAAATGTTAAAAACTTGAAACAAGATTTGATAAGAGAAAGGGTCGAGAGAAAGAATGACTGGTGGGTTTAGTTAGGCATCATAGAAATGATGGTGTGGCAGATGATTGAAGAAATCTTTTGGAAATTTTGAACAAGACGAAATCCGGTTGGTCAAAATTCTCACCAGAAATATTTTGACTTGACGTCTGTCTGTGTAACCAAATTTACATTGCATGCATTCTCATACATCAAATTCTTGACAACGTACTACAGAGACTCCCATTGCTACGGTGCACCAACATTAGGCTCTTCATTTCCTCATGAATTTGTTTGTGTAGCTATCTGACTCATTGATAACGCTTCATTTTGTGCACAGAGAAACTTCAAAGAATTATCTTTTCGTAGAAGAAATTTAGATTCCAAAACAGAGACATAGACATAGTATTTGCATAAACTTCTAATGAAATTTTTTGAAGTTTTTAATCTTTATTTTGTTTTGCTGAAACCCATATTTGTTATATAATTGATTCTTCCGAATGTGTTTTTGAGATGTTTCTCTAATCAAAATTTTGGTTTTTTTTTTTTTTAACCCTAGTTTACTTTGTGTATTATTTATTAAATTGTTAATGAGGTTCAATTTAATGGAGAAAAAGATTTACTTTTCATATGTAAAATAAGTTGCAGATTAAAAGACTGGAAAATGATGAAAGATTTTGCGAATCTATCCATTGTTTGGAATTTTTATCTCCTTAATTAGAAGACTTAGAAGACTCTTAAGTCAACAAAAGTGCACCTTCCAGGAAATGGGATTTCCTAAATGAATTAATGGGCACCGTTGTAGGTGAACCAGTGTATGTTAATAATTGAGCAAGAGACACGGGTCTATCCTTTCTGTCAAAAAGTAAAAAAATTAGTGTGTTGAGTTACTGTACACAATAAAACTTCCAAGACACTATGAAGTAGAAATTTGGCCCATAAAAGAAATGGCTGCGTTTAGCCCCTATCCTATTCTTATTCTACTCAAAAAAATATATTTGTTTTTCTATTTTCAAAATCCAATCATATTTTATTTAACTATCTTTAAACCCTCTAGATTTGTTAATTTAACTAAATACTCACAACAAAAATATTTATAAATTAACAAAAAATGTTTATAAATTGATAAAAAACATCCCTCCCCACCCACTCACCCACATTTACTAGATTCTGGCACCACTACCGAAAGGTGGTTAGAATCTGCCATTATGGCACACTACCAATTGGATCTGACCGGTAGTGGTTCAATCTAGCCTTTTCCGACCAGATCCACCATAGATCTGGCCGAAAAATGCCAGATCTTTGGCCACATCTGGTCATCAATGAAGGTTCAGATATAGTTGTCGTAGACGACCAAATGACGACTAGATCTGGCCTTTTTCAACCATAGATCTATTCTTTTCCAACTAAATCCATGATAGATCTGGTCGAAAAAGTTCATATCGATACACGATCGGCCAGATCTAGTCGGTCATGTGCCATTACTACAGATTCCAACCACCTTCCGGCGGTGGTGGCCAAAATCTAACAAATGTGGGTGGGTGGGGTGTTTTTGTCAATTTATAAACTTTTTATTATAGGGGGTGTTTAGCTAAATTAACAAACCTATGGAATATTTTTGTTAATTTTTAAATCCTACCTCATAATAACAACCCAACTCAACTTTTTTAAAAGTACTACTCAAAAGTCAAAATAATAAAACAAACACAGCCAAAATTACTCAAAATTTGCACAAAACTTCTAGGAATGTTCATGGACGTAGGTAGGCATATAATTGTCTTGGTTATATAATTTTGAGTTGGGTTCTTCAAAGTTATCTCTTCTTTAAGGAGTCTCTGATCAACTGTGAAATGTATTAATGGCTTCTTCTTCTTCTTTTAAAACATGTGAAACAAAACATCATGTTTTCCTTAGTTTTAGAGGTGAGGATACACGTGGAAATTTTCTAAGCCATCTTTATGCAGCTTTGCGTTCAAAGAAAATTGAAACATTCATTGATAATGATCTTCACCGAGGAGATAAAATTTTAGAATCACTTTTGACTATGATCAAAGAATCAAAGATTGCATCTCAAAAGGGTACGCATCATCTAGATGGTGCCTTGAAGAACTTGCAAAGATTATTGAATGCAAGAAATCGCAAGATATGATCGTATTGCCAATTTTCTATCACGTGAATCCATCAGATGTAAGAAATCAAACTGAAACTTTTGGAGAAGCATTTATGAAGCATGAAGAACGATTTCAACAGGACTTGGAGAAGGTGTTGAAATGGAGGAGTGCTTTGACAGAAGCGGCTAATCTCTCTAGCTTTGATTAAAAAAATACCAAGTGATTTCCACTTTAAAATTTTCTAGGAGTTATTTGTTTATACTTAAGCTATATATAAATTCTAAGATATTTTAAGATTAATTATTAACGAAAAAAATATTTAGTACTACTCTACTATATTTAATTATGAATATATATTATTGATTTAATTTGAAAAGCACTTGGGCATTTAACTAAAAGTCATCGAATATTTATTGTAATTTAAATAGAATTACTTTTCTCTTTGATTTAATTGAACTTACTAATGTGTTTTATATTTTGTTGGGGATGAAGCTGACTTGATAGAAAAAATTGTCGAATTTATTTTTGAAAATATTGAATCATATGTCCGAAATTGATTACAAAGGCCTCGTTGGAGTAAAATCAAGAATCGAGGAAATTGAATCACTATTATGTATTGAGTCAAAAGATATTTTCAAAAATGTAGGAATTTGGGGAATGTGAAGTATAGACAAGACAACTCTTGCTCGTGCAGTACTTACCAAACTCTCAAGTTAATTTGAAAGCGTCTACTTTCAAAAAAATGTTAGGGAAGAGGCGAAACAATTTGCGTTAGAGCATTTGAGTCAATAACTTCTTTCTGCAATATTGGAGGACTGATGGGCCATTTTATAGTCCACCTTCACTAAAAGTATGGTTTTTAGTAAGAAGGTTCTAATAGTTTTCGATGATGTGACATGTTTAGAGCAAATGGAAAATTTAATTGGAGATCTTGTGTGTTTTGGTCTTAGAAGTCGAATAATAATAACATCAAGGGATAAACAAGTACTTAAAAATTGTGGAGTCAGTCACGATAACATATATAAGGTTAAGGGATTAATATCTACTCCAGCTCTTGAACTTTTTAGTTGACATGCCTTTAAGTTGGATTCTCCTCCAACAGGTTACGAGGAGCTATCAATAAGGGTAGCAGCATTCGTCGATGGTGTTCCATTAGCTCTTAAAATTTTGGGTGGCCTACTTTTTGGCAAGCCAAAGTCAGTATGGGAAAGTGCCCTGTGTAACTTAGAAGGAAATCCAAATCCAAAGATCCAAGATGTGTTGAAAATAAGTTTTGATGAACTTGATGGTCAGTCAAGAGAAAAATATATTTCTAGATATTACATGCCTTTTTGACGGAGTTGAAAAAAATCGTGCAATGGAAATTCTTGATGTCAATTGGATTGCCTCCAACTTGAGAGTGAGTAATCTCATTTACAAAACTCTCATAGCTATAGAATTTGGTTGCATAGGAATGCATGATTTGTTACAACAAATGGGGCAAACAATAGTCGTGCAAGAATCTAAAGATCCAAGTAAACGCAGCAAATTATGGCATCATGATGATATATATCAGGTGTTAAGAAGAAACACACTGAGAGACTAACTAATCAATTTTTTATATTGATATAAATTGGATAACATTATCCATTTAGTATTATTAATTTTTAATTGTCATGCATCATGTACATTCACATTCTATACTTGCTAATATAGTAGTTCCTACAGCTAAGGGTTAAGCTAGATTTGGGGCATACGTACGTTTGAATTTTACAAAAAAGAATTCCGGGAAAAAAAAAGTTAGATTATAATTTTATAACTACCTGTTGTAATAGTAGGCTTTGACATTTATTTAAGATACTAATTTATTGTTATTTGATTTTTAGGAAACTGAAGCAATTGAATGCATCTCCTTGGAAATTTCTAAAATAAAAAAGATAAACTTAAAGTATGATGCTTTCTTGAAGATGCAAAACCTCATATTCTTGGATTTTTATTACCCAAGCGAGGAAGACCATGGAGACTTCTTGTACTTTTATTGCAGTTGCTTCTTAGAAGACTGTGTTATTAAATGTCAATATTGCTCACTAGACGAAGAGAATGAGAATAGGGTTCATGCTTTGCAAGGCCTAAAATTCAGTTCATCTGACATAAGGTACTTTCGTTGGTTTGGATATCCTTTGGATTCATGGCCATCAGATTTTGAGTTGCAAAATCTTGTTGCGCTTATCATGCCTGGTAGCCAAATTAAACAACTTTGGAATGATCTCCAGGTATAAATATTTAACTTGATTTTCTCTTTTTGTAGAAAATCATAAAGCTAATCGTATAATTTATGTTACTTCCTCATCTTGTTAATTTATTATTTGCAGCATTTAGAGAAATTGAAGCATATTAACCTTATCAACTCCAAGCACCTAATTAGCATTCTAGATCTCTCAATGATCCCAAACCTTGAGAGTTTGGTTCTAGAAGGTTGTACAAGTTTGATTGAGGTTCATTTGTCAATTCAATATCTAAAAAAGTTGAATATGTTGAATCTTAAATGTTGCAAAAGCCTTAGAATTCTTCC